TGTATTTAAAATATTTAAATTTTTAGATATTATATGTAAAATATGTATTACTAATACATGTTACAGGATCTATAAAAGACATTCGTCAGTTACAGGGATGTTTTCCCACATGCATCAAGCCAAAAAAGCTAAATTTTGCAGTCTTGCATAAAACAAAGAAAAATCTCCTCTCTTCTAGTTCAGAAGACTCCTCCTGAATAAATGGCTCTGGATTTGAAGCATAAGTATCTTAGTTCCACATTCTTCCTCTTCCAAATGCCTTAATTTCCATTGTTCAAAGCTTAAACAGGAGGCATGAAAGTTTAAAAAAAACAATGTAAATGGAGAGAACGTGTATTTCAGAAGGTTTCTCCTCTCTTCAAGTAGTTTAGAATCTTTGTGTCGGTGTTAGTAATGCTTTAAAGGGAGATCTGATTTAACCAGCAAAACTAATGGGTTTTAGATTTAGTGTGCAGGAGTGATAGGCTCAGCTACTTCTGCTGCCTTAGCGAGGGGTTGTGATACGTGCAGGTGCGTTCACAAGCTTGGAAAAAAGCTATCTAATAGAAACAAGGCTGTAAATTGAAAATGGCGTCATTAGCTAAAAAGCAAAATAACAAATAAATTTCTTTTTAATATTTTTTCAAAAGGTCATAGTCATTTTTGTCAACTAACATCATGCTGCTGTAACCTCATCAACTAGACAAGATTTGCTGTGTGGATAAAGCTGGCTTATAGTTAGGGGGACTGCATAAGAAATAAAACCAATGTGTGTGAGAACTGAGATTGCTTTGGTAATTTGCTGTTAGGTGGAATGCTGTAGGTCTGTCAGTAATATTTCGATTACCTGGTTTGGAATTGCAGGTGTTATCTAACTCACAAACATGAAAGCTTATTTTGGTACATTAGCTTCTTTCTGTTGCCTTAAAAATGCTATTCTTGCTCAGCAAACCTCAGAAAGTGTGATCTCTCATTGCTTTTTTCATTGCAGTTGACGCTGACCTTGTGAGCCTTTTGGGGCAAGACTAGTTGCTTTATTTGTGCGCACAGTATGAAGCATGAATCTGAGAATACACTGTCATTTCAGGGCTGACGGCTGATGCCAGAATAGTTATAAATAGAGCTCGTGTGGAGTGTCAGAGCCACAGACTTACAGTGGAGGATCCTGTCACTGTGGAGTACATCACACGTTACATTGCTAGTCTGAAACAGGTATGTTGGACTGCACAGAGATGCTTAAAAATATGTCCTGACAAACAGCACTTCAGACTAAGTATGTAAAATGTCTGTCCTGGCCTTGTTCTACTTGGCTGGTAAAAATCAGCGTAACCAAACACATTGCGGCTGTTTATTGGAAATAGGGATGTAGTAATAGAAAAGGAGGGTTGATTACTGATTGTTTTTTTTCTTTTTCCCCCACTATGAAGAAATTGATCAGTACTTGTATGGACTGCATAACTACACTTGTGGTATCATCAGTCTGCTCATCTAGAGCTCTAACTTGCTCTCACAGCAGTGGTGCTGTGTTGTTGTCAAAATGTCTTCGTGGCTCCTTTTTGTTTTTCCTCCTGCTAAGCCGTTGCAGGGAGGGGTAAGAGGAGAGAAAATCCAGTGCAGTACTGAGTATGTTTTATGTTTGATATTCATGAATTTAAACTGAATTACAACATCGAAATATGCCTAACTGCGTTCTGTGATAAAATGATTTCCAGTGTATTAAACTGATTTTCAGCAACTAGCGGGGATTAGAAAAAGTCTAATTTACTTATGCACAGACATGTGTTAGTGTAGTGATGATGATAATAGGGTAATTCTTGTAATAATCACTAGCCTGCCAGAGCAGAATACCACTTTCCAAAGTTTCACCTTGTTCCTTTACAGTAATCTCACATTTGTGTCTTTCGTTTTGGCACATTCACAATTTCTCCAAAGCTGTTACAAACCATAAATCTCGCACAGTATTCTTTTTTTTCCTGCTGTGATTATGCTCCTGGTGTCGGACCTCCTTCTCCTTAGGGGCTTCTGGTGTGGCAATGGCTCTGCTAACCCAGTGTCAGCAGGTGGGCTGTAACGCGGGCTTTGCTGCAGCCTGCTTACCACCACAGAGGGTGCCGAGCTTTCTGATGGAATTGTTGTGAATCATTGGTGAAAACTGACTCTGTGTTCAGGTGTCATCCTCTTTTTTTCTTTTTTTTTTTGGCTTCCTAAGCACACTTGTCAAAGCAGAGCGTTACACGTGGGCTCGCAGACTTAGCTCTGTCTGCCTCTCGGCGCTGCCCAGCAGCCAAGGGAGATTCTTCCTGAGAGCTGTAACCACACAGCAGACTTCAGCGGGTGTTAGGAACAGGGCTTGAGCAACAACCACCTCTTACTTGCCTTGCTTCGGGTCTTCTGTCAGATAAGGAATCCTAACTTTAACAGGTAGATTAGTAAGAGAGCCCGCTAAAAATATTTCTGGTGGCTCTTCTGGTTGTAACTTTTACAGTGTCTGCTTTCCACTCTAAAAGTGTTTTTAGAACTGCTTCTGAAATAAGTGTCTCTTCTTTCTGATCAGAGATACACACAAAGCAACGGTCGCAGACCTTTTGGTATCTCTGCTCTTATTGTGGGATTTGACTTTGATGGAACCCCGCGGCTGTACCAAACTGATCCCTCTGGTACATACCATGCTTGGAAGGTGAGTTGATTCTGTCTCTTGTGGAGATGTAATGAAATATTTGTGAGTTAATGTCTCCTTTAAAGAGGGACTGGTGTAGAAAGGAGATCTCACTGGCCAGATGCTGCTGGCTCACAGCTGCAAAAATCCTTAATGATCAAATTTACCGAGAATGGCAGTCTGCAGTTCAGCCTTACTTGGGAAATCTTGTCCTGTTTTCAAAAGAACCAAAAAACAACAAAACCAAACAACCACCAAAAAAACCCAAACCAACCCCACCACCTGTGCTGAACAACTGTCTTTTTTTGTGTGATGTGGGAAGTAACATGTTCAGTCTCCTTAAAAATACATGGTGATCACAACATGGTTTCAGATTGCATAATCATACAACTTGTATGTCTTGCTTATTCTGTAAATGAAGTCTTTCCTAAACGTCCATTGATTGTCTTCTTCCCCTCAATGATTCCAGGCTAATGCCATTGGCAGAGGAGCGAAATCTGTGCGTGAATTCCTGGAGAAAAACTATACTGATGAAGCCATTGAAACGGATGATCTGACCATTAAGCTTGTCATCAAGGCTCTTCTTGAGGTGAGTCTGTTTCAGATCCCTTGTGTGACTTTTCACTCTGTGTCCGGATTAACTTCTGAAATGGGAATAGGTGAAAATCTTCGTGCATGACGCAGGGAAGTACTTTAAAAGGGTCTGTGAAAACTGTTCGTTGTAGGCCACGGGCTTGGGATTAAATGCAAGGTTCGGAATATTTCAGGTAACAATTTCTGCAGTTACTTACTAGCTAGTTACTTACTAGCTAGTTACTTACTAGCAGTTCTCTGGGGAGGAAAACAGACTTCAGTTCCGGCTGTTAAAACAAATGCACCGAAGATGTGCTAAACCATATGCAGAATATTTTACTTCTGTATTGATGTTTAAGATACAGAAAATACCAAAGTCAGATGGTGGGAATGAGATGTTCTTCACCAGCCGTGGAGGGCATTGATGCCACAACGAAGACCCTTATTTTTTGAGAGTTACACTGCTACTGGAGTTGAGAGCTTAGAGCTCACGAGCGAAATACTCCCCATCTGTATCCCTTCTGCTTCCAAGAAGACCTGAAAGGGGTTTGTTAGAATTAATTACTGAACACGCTGCTAATAGCTGCACCTAACTCTTGTTAAGGTTGTGCAGTCTGGTGGGAAGAACATTGAGCTGGCGGTCATGAGGCGAGAACAGCCGCTGAAGGTAAGGTCTTTGTTTTGCTTTTCTCCCTTTGTAGCCTGTTTCTCTGGTACTGTCCTTGGTGAGCTGCGGTAACTTCCAGCCCTTAATCTCACGTTCTGCACTGGCAAATACTTCTGTTTATTGTTAGTGGCCAAGGAATGTTGTTGTGTCTGCTGGATGAACACCAGTTAACTTCTTTCCATGTCAGAACTCGAATTGCTTAAATAAAAGGCTCTAAGTTCTATTAGTATCTTGAGGGTCACCTGTGTTTCTGTTTTAGATCCTAAACCCTGAAGAAATTGAGAAGTATGTTGCTGAAATTGAAAAAGAAAAGGAAGAAAATGAAAAGAAGAAACAGAAGAAAACCTCATGATGAATGAAATTCAGCTGCTTAGCTGCTGCTTTTTAATTCAAGTGATGGGTTATTCTGTATAAACACCATGTAGGCATTCCACTTACTCATACTGTGCCCCTCTTGAGACCTACAATAAACATACTGATTTTTTTTTTAAAGCTGTTATTTTAAAAAAATCTGTCTGTTCCTTGGATTTTAATTACCTCAGATTATTTGGTTGGTTACAAAACAGCAGGAGTGACCCATTAAAGGACAAAGAATTTGTTTGCATTTTTTTCCTGGGACACTTCACTTTGTTTAATGATTGTTTTCCATGGTCTCAGTTGTTGGCTTCTCATTTTTTATTTTTTTTTTTTAAGTAGCTGTCTGAAGGGTTGTGTTATGGCCTCAACAGAACATCGCTAATCCAGAATTATGCTTTTTCTTCCCTAACTAGCATCGTCAGACTGAAATGGCTAGGGGCTGGATGGAAACCTTGTGGCAGCAGGCAGGAGGTTTGCCTCTGAAGGCCGGGACAGGGGCGTTGGGGTGGTGTTTTGGGAGCTCAGCACGAGAGCTGAGGGTTGCAGGTATGTCATCACAGCAGCGGTGCATGATTCATCTGGTTCAGAATAACGTGGTGCTGTTGTGATTGCCCACTAGGGGATTTATAGACCAGAAGCTTCCTAATGCCAAAATAACCACAACAAACGTTCCCTACAACACAGTTAAACCATAAAGCTCTACTCCCCTTTCTCCTTTTCTGTTTACCCTCACGCTGTTTCCTCTGTCCTGGTTTCTGGTCGAGCCTGTTTGCTGTTCCCAGTCCCGGCACTTGTGTGAGCCGGTTCCCTCTCCCCTTCACCAGTGGGAGATTGCTCCCTTGCTGTATGGGATGCAGAGACCGGCACCTGTGCTGCTGTGCACCAACTTCACATTGCTCTTGCGGGGCAGGATTCGCTCCGTGCCATCTACTCGCTGCAGACATTCTACATGTATAATGTAATAAACTTAGAAATATATAAATTTGAAGGTGTCAGGTGACAACTGTTTACTCAAATGCTTTAAAACTAGCCCAAAGGAGCTGTGAGCAGGAACAAGGAATTTTATTTCAGACAGGTATTTGCAGTGTGGCACCACCACTATCCAGTTCTGGCCCCTGAAAAGCCCTTCCCAGCTGATCCACCTGCGGTCACCATCTCTGTGCTGCAAGAACGCCGATGGGGACAGTTCTCTGCAGCCTGCGCTCTTGGGCCCTCTGCGACACGGAGGCAGCAGAAACCGTCAGGGGTGGGAGCCGATGTCCTGCTCTGGCCGAGGCACAGCCCCAGGCTGCTCTGAAAGGGGACGGGTACAAAATGGCACAGGCCTCCTGCCCCTCATGCTGCACTGGGGCAAATAGGGCTGATACCAGCCCCCTGAGCCCCATGTTAAAAATCGTATTTCTTTTGTTCCTGGGGCCTTGTTTCAACACAAGCCTTAAGCACAATAAAGGGCTTTGTCCCTTTTATGCGCTGAAGGGCATCGTCTTACTCCCAGCTGTCAGGGAAGTTGGTCGCTGCACCAGTTGTGTGCAATGGTTTCTTTTCCCATTTCAGAGAAGCCTCAGGCCTCTCCCACACCTGACCTCTTGCCCCCAAGGCTCAGCACCTGCTTGCAATAGTAACAGAGACCCCTTTAGGATAAAAGTTTCCCTATTTACAGCCACCAAAGGGGCGGAACTGAAACAGTCCTTGAAAGCAGCTCTGCAGTCTCCTACTGACAGCCAACACGTGGTTTTACAGGTATAAAGGAAGACTCGGCTGGCAGCAGGCACAGCAAGGACTGAAAGCATCCCAGTACCCCGCAAGGGGCAGCTCCTGCCCGCCGGGTCCCTAGGAAGCTGCTCAGCGGTGGGCTGGACTGCGCCAGCTCCCAGCTGCAGGAACCTCACGTGCTCCCTGGCTTCTCGCACCGTAAATGCTGCGAAGCAGCGTGGGCCGAGCATCGCACAGGGCTCAAGGACAGGAAAGCTGCAGTGCTGCTGCTCTGGGAAGCGTTAGACCACATCAGCTGGAGGAAGTGAGTCACTGGAATACTGCATCCCTTCATTTATCAGTCCTCAGACTGGAATGCTGAAGTTACAAAAGCTGTGTTTGGTTCCCTGCACGAGTCACCACCATCCTTCCCTCACGTTGGGAATCTTCCACCTGGAAGCCAACTGCGCTGCAGCAGAGCCCCAGGGCCAACAGGAACAAGCGTTCTGGCGGTGAAGGGCCAGCTCGTTAGGCTGATTGCTCCAGGGGAGAGCCGGGACAGAGGAAGCCTGGGTACCAGGGAGAGGGGGCCAGTGCCAGATCAGGGTGTTTAAGCCCTTTTCCAACACGTGTAACACTGTGCAGGCCTGCCAGAACTCCGCAGCGCCGTTTTCTCCGAGTTAGATTCGAGCCCTGCTAGGACAGGCACCTGACAAGTTGTATGGACTGATGTTACCGAGCTACGTACAGAACAAAGTAGGAGGGAAACATTAAACATTTACATGTTTATTATAATTACAATTTACCTTACTCCAAAGAGCATCCCCACTGCTATGTTCTAATTCTTAGCAATAAAGTCCTACAAAAATAAATCCAAGCTTTTACAGTAACCTAGGTCAATGCTTAACTAAAAAATTCTAGCTACGTAAGGGGTTCAGTCATCAAGGTGCTTTTTCGACTAAATTCCCTACCAACCAAAAAAGGGACACATGCCTATAGCAGTTTAACCCACTTACTCATGCAAACAAATGTAATCCCTCCCTCCCAGCCCCTCTCCCCACATACAGATTTTTAAAAACAAAAGAAAACCAACTAAACTATTTACAGTATGGGGGGTATAGAGGAAACAAATTAAACATGCCCATCTGTCAACGCTTCATTATATGGACTCCCATCCCTAGTTTAATGAAAACATTCCATAGTGTTCCACCACAGCCTACTAGTGTACAGAGAACTGTTTGCGTTTGGTACTACCCGTGAGCAAGGTACAAACCGAGGCAAGCAGTCAGAGCTTCAGATCTCCTCCCCAGACAGTCAACGACTGCCAAAAACTCTTTACTCTGACAGCACACGAGCTGAGACACTTGCCGCTCCTGTCCTGCCGAGGACACTGCACACTGTCCCCCGACACTGCCCTGACCCAGTAAGCAGCTCCAAGCCTCTGAGGACCACTCAGCACCCTTCAGCTCGAGGGAGAGTCACAGTTCTGTGTAAACCTGCGGTACCTCTGCGTTAGTACCAGCCGACAAACAGTTGTACAGTCATTTACACTACTACATGATCAACAATCCAGTATTCCCAAGGGACAATATACACAACTCTTCAGCACCAGGAATCCATTCTTCCAGATACCAAGTGCTACTTCACACCTGCTGCCGAGAACAGTGAGACCAGCAGCACCGAAGAATCCATTTGGTTACTCAGAACAAACAAATTATAGCTGGTTTATTTCAAGTGAGCTTTGGTTCCATGTTAAAATAGCATGATTTATCTTCTTCAGGGTTCAGAAAAGGAGTCTGACTTTAAACTTAAGACTACAGCAGCCTGAGAGACCCAGAAAGAAGAACGATGTAAGTTAGTCCGCACTAAAAAAAAACAGAACAAAACAAACTGAACACAAAACAAACCACAAACAAAAAAGACACCCTGAAGAAGGTACCCCTGAACGCATTCCCTCTTCCAAAGAATATTCCAGCTGACAGTTGCTGGTCCAAAATAAGTCCAGAATATAAGCAGTAGTACATGAAGTTCTGTCACTTGAGCTGAGACAGTAAACGATATGAACCATTTTCCCACATTAGTGCAGCAGTTGGTTGTTTTCTTTCTATATACAGTTTCATCCTCTCAGGAGAGATGTTAGAACCTATTCAGAAAAAAAAAAAGGCAGATTTAGATTTGATATCATGGGGATCTTCTCCCAAGAAAAAGAAAGGCAGCAAAGTTCACACCTACGTATCAACTGAAATGCTTAGCTAGAAAGCCTCAGCTCTAACAAGCAGCTCTTGCTTTGTCAGACAGAAGGCTAGCCCAAGAAATCAACACAACAATCGCCACGTTAAACACCACATTAAAACCACTCACACTTCCTTCTACCACTTAGTATGAATCAGATACAGTAAGGAACAATTCTTCATATATCCACAAGACTGGAGAGCAAAAGAGGTTGCACAGACAGTTCAGGCAAGAAGCAGGAGACAAACCCAGCTCACAGACAGTATTTATTCTTGCTAAAAAACTTGCCTCTGAAGTTACACTCTGCCAGTACCAGCTCTGTGAGTGGTTTGGTTTCGCCTTGCTGCTCCGCTACCCCTTCCACCTCTAAATCCACCACGAAAGCTACGGCCTCGAAGGAACCGTCCAGACACTCCGAATGTCTCTGTATTGAGCTTCCTTTCTTCAGCCCACGTGGTACGCCTAGAACTGAACAAGACTGCATTCAGATTTAATATAAACATTAAACAGCCATCAACTCATTTAGCTAGCAAGCTTCAAGCACCCTATTTTGTTGAACTAAACTGCAACAAGAACCAGCTGCAGCGTACACATGCTCACTAACTCAATTCCTCTGCTAAGCATGGATTTGAAAGCAACAGCTCTTGGCTTTTGTAAGCTACTTTCATACTGGAAAACTAAAGATGGGCCTAGAAAAGGGTTGAACATGGTCTTACTAGCGTTTCAAACCCTGTCTTGTTTTCTTGGAAACTACAAACTCTTGGATGCAGCGAAGCCTCTCCAGAAACCCAGGAAGCCCTGCCACAACCGAGGTGCAGCAGACTGCTACTGAGGTAGCTCCACAGCACCGGCATGTTTCTTCCTTAGCAGAGCCTGCCTAGCCCTGAACACCTCGCAGCGAGCACTTGGAGGGAAGCTTTGCTAAAGGGAAGCAGAAACATTACCAAGGGAATTTCACATACTGCCACTAAAGGGATGTCTGACTTCACCAGGCAGTTGATAACATCAGCATCAGCAGCAAAAGATGAGGCTTTCTTTTAATATTCCCAACATTTAACTTAATGCATTTCCACAGACAGACCTGACCTCCTCTCTGCATAAACTCCAGGCTTAGCTTGCTCCTGTCTGCAAGTGGCACCATCTTCAGCACAGCATGACCCTGATGCCTCCTCCCGCAAACGAGATAAGAAATATGTTTAAAATCAATGGGTTCAAAGTCAGTACTGGGAAACAGAACTGGAAATTCCTGTATCATAGTTTAGGCAAGCGTATCAGTATCAGTTGAAATCCTCACTTTTTGTTTGATCCCACTGCATGAAACTTGGCCAGTATTGCTCATGAGCCATCAAATGCAGGGCAATACTCCCTCCTAAAGACTGCTTTGCTGACTTTCTTGCATTCTAAGATTTTAAAAGAATTAAACCATTTGACATATATTATGTCTAGAATTCTATGCCTAAAATCGCATTAAAGAAAGGCAAGCTTTTAGAAAATACTCACCTAGATTTCAGTTCTGAAGAAATGTTGTCAAAGAAAGACTTGGATTTATCGTAATAGCAGTTGGGTCCCAGAAGGTCCTCCTCTGCACTGCCGTCATTGTTTTGAGTTGCCACTCCAGGGTCCCCTTTTTCTTCCCCCGTCTCTGCTTTGTCATCTGAAGATAATAAAAGTGTATTACACTTCCTTGATGCACACTGAAGAGCCATCTGTTCTCTTGATCCCTCAAACAGGATTTGAGATGCTGCCACATGTAATCATGCAGTTTCTCAGAACCAGTTTGTCTATGCAGTGTTTACTACTAGCTCAGCAATTCCTATTTAATGAAGTCACAAACCTTTAAAGTTTAGTTTCTTCTTGAATTCTTTATCAAGTTCCTCTCTGTTGAATTGTGCATTTGCACTTTCGAAGTCGAAGTCACCTTCAAACTTTATTGTATTTTCCTTCACAGTAGTTGGTCTGTTTTGTCCTCTAGAACGGTTTCTGGTTCTCCTGTTTCCTGAAAGCAGGAGAGTTTAAACACTTGGTAAGGCACAGGGAGGTTAAATGACTTGCTCAAGACCAGAGGAAACCCCGGTTAGAACTCAGGCGTTTCTGGCTTCCAGTCCTGTGGTTAGGCCACACCTCTTTGAAAGCAACTTCTGAACTTGGCTGTAGAAGACATATTACAGCAACACTTTAACTTTCTGTAAAGCATTCCTGGATGTCAGTCTTACCGTTAAGACAGAGTATATCCAACTTTCCATCCAGCGTGAGGATAGGAAATCAGAACAAGTACTACATGAAGAAAAGCTAAGGGAAGCAGAGAAAACTATCTTTCCTGTCTGCTACTCATCTACCAGCATGGTACTGTAATTAGGCTACAAATCTGTCATGATGGCAAAGAGGAGCAGGTCACTGGTTTCAGAAAATCCACCCAAGACTCACCTACCCACAAAGGCAGCTTGTACTTCGAATAGTTTTTTGTTTCCAACTGAGACGCTATCAACTCCTTTTTGGAAAAGCTATAACCCCTTCTACAGCATTGCCCTCTGGCAAATTAATTTGAAGACCTTAGAATCTGAAGTTTTGTTTCCTGCCTTTTCTCATTTTGCTTGGGCAGAAATATCTGTTTGACTTTAATTTCATTTTCTTTTGACCTGTGCTTAAACCACTGTCTTGAAATAAGAACTCTGCTCTGTGGAAGTAAAGGCTCCATAGTTCCTCTCAGTTATAAAAGCTCTGGAAATTCTTAAACAGGCTGCCTTTCCCAGCAAAAATACTTCAGGTTTCAGAGAAATCTAGTTGCTGCTGCCAACTCATAGCATCAATTTTTATAATGTATATTCAAGTTTTCTAGGAAAGACACTAGATTTCTGTCCCTGGAATGTTCTGAACTTCTATGACTCCAGAACCTATTTTGTTAGAGAAGCATATCTGGATGCCCAAAGCCTTATCAAGCTTTATTTTGCTCTCAATCTTCTGTCCAATCATCCTTCACTGAAGTTAACAATATTTGCCTTTATAGGCCAACGCAACTGTTCAGTGTCAGGTCAACCTACCTGATCTTCTCCTTTGAGGTCTCCTGTTTTCATCATTCACCTGTCCTTGGGTTTGCACAGGTGCTGCTTGAACTGTATCGACTGAACAAGAAGGATAAACTTAATAAAGGAGCACAAGAACAAAACCAGAACAGTTTAGTCTTGCTATGCACTTTTGAAGGATGCTTCAAAACAGCACTTTAAAGATGACGCCGTCCATACATACCATTTGTCTTACTGTTGCCCTGTGGAACCTGCCGTCCATTGCGCTGAACCCCTGGAGTTACTTTCACGGGGGGTGGCTTTTGTGAATTCATGTTGTCAACTGGGCCAGTCTGAACAGCCTGCTCTACCATGGGGCTTTTGCGGACAGGGTGAACAGAAGGAAAGCCGGCACCTGCAAAAAATCCCAATGACCAAGCGCCTCTCAGAAAATGTGCCAACGCTATTCAAACCCTACCCGCTTCTATGGAGAAACAGTTTTTGTCAAGAATTACTCAAAGCCTTGAGTGTTTATTGTTACACACTATGTTTAAGTGGCAAATGCACTAGGTAAGGCACTACTGCCATACAAGCTGTGGCTCTCAAATCCAGAGCCTTACAATCAGGAAATCTATCCATTTATTTCTTAAACCAAGTTAGACACACATCAGATAAGCAAGCCAGGTCAGTCTCTTAGACAGTTTATACTAAAATCCAATTTCTACGTGTATCCTTGGTTATGTAGGATTTTACTTTACACAACACTTCGAAACTGCTCAAGAAAGCTTCCCCACTTTGTCAAAAGAGTTCCGCAGCAAAAGCTTAACCACCTCAACTATATCCCGTTCTCTAAGCCGCTTTTAGAAGTCCTTCAACTTCATTGCTTATTGTTAGCTTTCAGACAAAGAAAACCTGAAACCAGACCAGGATCTCAAAGTTACCCTTTTAAATTCCTTCTTGGTCAAGGCCAAAGTGTTACCAAGACTTCTGTTGCTCTTCCATCCAGGCTTATTTATTCACACTACAAAACATGTAAATACTTTTCATGGTTTGGTATACCTTACACCAATTATATTAAAAAGTGACAGTCTTCAGTACTCAGAAGAAACACTGCATTCTAGATTTAATTAGAAGTTTTGGAGTACTACAGGTTTATGTAGCTATGCATAAGAACTGCTTGGAAGCAAACTTTAACCAAATATACTTAAAGAGCAAGAAAAGTGAAAAGCTGAAGAGTACACACAGACCAAGCCACTGACATTTCTGGGTCACTCAAGTCCACATGAGATACACCCAGTAGCTAACATCATGCAGGCTCCCAGTTAATGTACACCTGGAAAACTTGCAAGGAAGACAGACATATCCTAAAAATTATTCAGTAGGACAAAGCTGCTGTGCAAGTTTAACATGAGAGAGTTTCAAAGCTTAGCCAGAATGTTGAGAAAGTATATACAGATAGATGGCCAAAACCAGGAAGTAAGTAAAAACAGTTTCATGCCAACACAAGCATACATGCTTAAGTTTAAAAACAGATGAAACTAATTACCATGTTTAAATGCAGGCTGCACCTGGTGTCTCTGCTCTGAGGATGGTCAGTCTAGTATCTCTACTCAACCTCCTTTAAAAGTTTTTACACATAGAAGCAAGCACCCAAAACTATGTTATCTCAGCTTACCACAACTCAGAAATCGCTCACCGTTAGTCATGCTTTACTAATTGGGAGTCTTGACAAGGTACAACGCCCCATCATGCATGGAATCTATCCTGATGTTTCCTCAATTACAGCAATACTCCTAAATTTTCTATTAAGTCTCTAACAGCAAGGCCACCCACAAATCAAGCAGTGTGCTTGTCTTTCCAGGAAAGGCTAAATTCCTTGCCCAGTCCCTAAGGTGACACATGTTCCTGGATAGGATGCAGCACATTAATATCCCTAAACCTCAGCCCTCTCCTGATACTTACACGAGAGGATCCACTGTCCTGTACTTTTTCCTTCTCCTGTCTCTCTAATTGATACTTCTGGGACAGGAGGAATACTTCATCTAATGAAAGGCAAAAATAGCTGAGAACAAACTAGTTCTACTAGCATTACCCATATAAGGACTATCATTCTAGGAGGGGTTAACAAGAACAGAGTGTTTGCAAGTGCCATGCAGTTCTTCCAAATATTTGGAGTCCTCAAACTGCTGTTACCCTTGGAAGAGAGCTGATGGGGCTCTGAAGACATGTCAGGCTCTGAAACAGGCTGTGGAGACGGAGAAGAACTAGGGCTGGAAGCAGCTGCTGATGCTGGAGGGCTTACCAATTTCTCTAAAGAGATAGAGGGAAGAAGAGAAAGCAAAGATACATGGATAAGATACAAGGTAGTGAAACATCTGAAGGACTTGGAAAGATATACAAGAATCTCTAGAACAGCATTAGAGCAGCTTATTTACAGTCCTCTCTGGGAATACAAGTCCTTTTTACATGGGATGTATATGTAAGGTATGTTAGGTTAGAAATGAACTGGCCTTAACCGTTAGGTATTCATATTACTTGCAGAAATAAACTTCAGCTATTTAGCTTGTTTCTTTCACATGCATATGTGTGTATGTGTGTGCACGTAAGTGAAATGCAGGCCTCCCTGCAATAAGATCATTGCACAAAGTTGTTAACTACTTATTCACTGCTGGTTGCAGCCTGACACTTGGCAAGGAATTCGGTATTAGTTACTGGTTATTTGGTTTCACAGTAGCTGCATACAAGGACCGTACCTTTATTCTAGCAAGTAAAGTTTTTACTTACCTAAACCTAATGAAGCTGCATACTGCTGGCTAAGTAAAGAGCTGGCAGCAAGCTGGCTGTAAGGTGGCATACCTCTAAACGGGCTGTAAGGCACATGTGGCTGAAAGGATGACGTAGAGGCAGAGCCCAGTGAAGACTGTAACAAGACAAAGTACATTTCCATTTACAGTGTCCAGAAGAAGTCAACTTGCTTTGGCAGTGATTCTCTACTTCATGTACAGCATTACTAAAGCTTAAGTAAATACTGAGAAGGGTTAGTTTACCTTTTTATGATTTTTCTGCATTCTCAGCTATGTAAACTAGCTCTGGCTTTTGTTGACCGAAGTCTTTCATGCTGCTGCTATTTTAAACATTACAATGAAATTCAGGATGCTTCAAAAAATCTGAAGATTCCTGGAGACACCTACTGGCCTTCATTTTTACAAGCTTATACCAAAATCCAGTCCTTCATCGCCAATGTTTTAGCACAGCTTTCTATCAACACTTCAGGCTAACTTACTTGAACAATGGCAGGATCTTGTGGTAGAGTATGTTGAGCTTTTGGAGGTTCACAGACAGTGATGTCTTTGATGTCACTTCCTCGAAAAATAATGTATTCGTAGATTTCTTCTCTCGGAGGAGCAGGTCTGTCTGTGGGCCGGTCTTCAGTACCGAAGGATCGCACTTTAGCATTAAAAAAACCTACTATTAATCCAGTATTACATAAGTTAAGATTTATGCAATTAAAAAAGTACTCTTGTAATACTTGTGAACTGTAACAAAAAAAAGTTACCTCCAGAACCCTGAATCTCCTTATCGCACACATCTGTTCCCTCAAATGCCAACTTTTTCAGAAGCCTGTGTAAACAGTTTTGTTTACATCAAGCTGTGAAGGTAAAGGCCATAGATCAGCTGGCGTGAAGAATCCTACACCAAAACTAAGGACTTCCCCACAGTGCTATACTGCCATATTCCCCTTCCCTCCCCAGCACCTGTCCCGTGTAGGCATTCAGCCCAAGACAACTGCCACTGCAACAGATGACGGGAGACGCCCCTGAAGCAGCAGGGAAAACGTCTCAGAAGGCTTTAGAGCTCAAATCTGCACCTTTGGTTGCAGGCACTTATTATACAGATAGAGGCAAAGTTTTACCTATGACAAGAACTTCCTATTAAAATTCTCTTCCTGCTCCACGCTGCTGGTTTTGCAATTAGTATCCACTGACTACAAAGCAAGGTTTTAGTGATAAATCTAAAACCGCAGTGCCTACAGAGGCTTTACTGAGACCCAGCTATCAGAATACTTCAGAAGGTATTAATGAGTGATGTTAAACATTAGAGTGGAAAAAAGGCTGCAATTGACTGTGTGGCAGCTACCAGGTAGAAGCATAAATTGAGCCATTAAGGAGGAAGAGGTCAGACTCAGACATACTGGATTGTTAGTGCAGGAAAATAGGTAGCATAGTCACAGCAGTGACATACAAAAGCTTGAAATTTCAGCCACAAGTTACAGAAGCTCATCAAGTTTACTTGTCTAGTTGTTTTCTGTCTTCATGAGGCTTTGTCAGTTCAGATAAGCACCAGTACATACTGGTTTGAGGTATGCTCTCTGCCAATAGAAGAATTCTGTATTGGAGTTGCATCAATTTCTTCTAAGAGGTTACCCACAGAAGTACTCAACCTCTCTGCTGGGACACACCACGATTCCTGCAGTCCCTTTACAAATTACATCCTTAACAGACCTTTCACAAGCACCTGCCAGGTCACAGTCTGTGCTGATGTGCCAGTCAGCTGCCACTCTCACTGCACAGCTGGAAAGATATAAGCACAGGCAGCCCTGTCGCATGAATGATAGGAGACAGGGGGGCACCACAGCTGCCCCAGAAAAACAGCAGCAAAAAGTGGATCCACTCAACCCCAGTGTACTATACCGTTACTAGGAGTGTTGACAGTTGTGGACAGGGCTACTCAGCAAGAGTCCTGTTCTGAGAGATGAAAAGCTGTATACAGGTGGTTCCCCCCACCAAGCAGCAGTTAGTGCTGCAAGCAGTCTTCACCTCCGTTCAACATGCAGGTGAGCTCACAAGGAGCAGTACGCTCTGGGTACAGCAGCTCAATGCCAGACTTTGTCCCTATCACACTGATGCTGTTTAGCACCTCAGCTTACACCTAACTGGAAGGGAATCTTAACTGGTACAAGGACAAGCTGTCAGTCACTTTCTTTAAATGATCATCTTCCATTAGTTCCTAGCATATGTAACCTCTCTAAGTTATTCCAGATCTGCAGCTGCTGTTTGATCATATTACAGCTGTAACCTAGTCAACCAGAAGCAGATTATAAACTGAAAGCAATGCTGGTGGCCTCTTAGACATGAACCATACCACTGATATCCCTCCTCAAGACTAGATTATTACAGCACATAGTTCATGGCAAGACATACTAAAGCTATCCAGGGACCACTGCAGAATCCCATGGCTAACTTGGAAAGCACCACGTCTTCTCAGAGCACCAGGATCAGCCTAACAGCTTCTACATAGAGAAACACAGACCTGCAAAGCCCAAAGCTCTCCAGGCAGCCTCTCAGTTGGCTTGTCCCAAGGTTTCTAACTAAAAAGTTGGAAAACGATGTCCTTGTAGACAAAACAGCAACGAGGGCACCTGAAAGAGCTCTAGGAGTTGAGCATGCCTGCCCCTGCATTTGAAGTGTTTAACGGTTTCTGGCAGATCACAAAGCACAGCTCCAAGTTTTTGCAGAGGTCTGAAGGGCTGTCTCCCGAGCAGTTACAGTGACTATTGTTTACAGATGAACAGGAAATCAATGCCACACCATGCTGCAGCTCGTGTTTTACAACGCACTTTGTACTCATGTGTAGGGCTCTGTTGACCTAGACCTCTGAAGGGTCAGGAAGCATCACAAGAGTGACTGGATGTCTGGAAAGCAGAGCTTACGTGGATATTTCTTACTCAAAAGTTCTGTTTCTTCAGACTTCTACAGAAGGGGGAGTAAGTTTCTGGTGTTCACTGCCAACAGGACAGTAATGAGCTCAAACTTCCTTCGCTTGCAATTTAAGTGTAGCATCTAACAAGACAACTTTCTTGCAGTGCTTAATTAAGCACATGGAATCTCCTTATCCAGTGTTTAAGATTGTGCATGTGTTGAGATTTGACAGGAACCAAAACCAGATCAATTGAAGTCATCCCTGCTTCGAGTAAGAGGCTGAATCAGATTCCCTCTTGAGGTTTCTTTCAACACAAATTTTTCTTTATATCACTTGGATGATAAAAGTCAGAGAATAACACTTATATTACATATTGAAGTTGTCTGAGCCTTAAACAGTGGCATCTAAGGCTTAATAATAATTTACTAGCTATCTGCAGAACTTAAACTGCATGTCAGTTATTTATGCTTCTTCTAACCCTTTAGAGATCAAGTGTTTTACACCGCTGCCCCTCTAAGCACAGGGTTCACATTGCTGTCACCAACTTTAACGTTGTTCCTATGTTCATAATTCTGACACTAATTTTGATATCAAGTCTCTAAATTTAAAAAACTCTGAGCTAAAATGAAAAGCAGGGTTTGTACCATAAAGTTTACAGAGTAGCACTTTAAGTGGGAAAAAATGTATTCTCCATCTATTGTAACAACTACTTCTTAGGCATTCTAGTTCATCAAAACTGAATACTAAGAGACCAATAAATACAAGAACTGCCAGAAATCTTATACAGAGCATGTACTTTCTCACACCATAAAACACTTTAATCATATACGCCTTTGAAACACACTACTTAAGCTCTAAAGTAGCAAGTGCTACGTGGAAGCCAGAACTATGTGAGTAACCATTTCTACTTGCTGCTGGGTAAAGGTGAAGACCTCCTTGCACATGGAGTAAAGGAATTGCATCCTTCCTGCAACCTCTCAATTACTTTAAGTGAAACATAAACAGCTCCATTTGTACATTTAAATAAACAGCTATGTCCGTAGGGGGAAAAAAAAAGTGAATTTGTGAAAACTCACGTTTTTAACTTCAGAATACACACTAATAGGTGTCAAGTACTCATGTCCAGCATCACATAAACATCATTATACTGAATAAATACAGCGGCACAGGCTGCCTTGAGGATAGTTGAGAATTAGGCAAGCCAGTGTCTCAGTGCCAGCTGATAGTTTTTCAAAAGAAAAGATGTTTGGTTTGTGGACAATCCTGACAGGTTGCTGAAGGCAATGAAGAAGGTGTGAACTTCCCAGAACAGGGAAGGACAAAACTCAGGGAAACAAAAAGCTGATGCACATTAGCTGAGGTAGCCATGCTGGACATTAAAAGCAGTACAGATACGAAGATCTTCTTTGAGAGACTAAACAAGACAAGACAGGTTTTTCTGAGAGTAAATGCGGGAGTTCCCAGCAAAGGTGACAATTAAATCCAGATGACACCATTTAAATAGAAGATAAAGATCACTATTTCTACAGTGAAACAAGATGCAGAGCCTTGATGAGCAGCCTGCAAGGTAGGACGAGCCAGACCTACCTGCAGACACCCCACAGCGCTCCGTACACGAGCTCTCACCCTCTGCACCCCAGCAGAGTCCGGTTTTTGATCACAAAAGGAACAAAGACACATCAACAGCAACTGTTTTCCCCAGCACTGGCCTGAGGCCCTGCTCGAGCCAAACACTGAGCTACTGCCGGGCATCCACGTACAGACAGGAGAGGGGAACCAAACCATGAACAGTGATGTAGACCATCACCTTTCTGGCTCTGACAATAGCAAGAGGAGCCAGCATTGCTGGCAGCTCTTCTTCCTCTTCAGGGGACTGGTAACTTCCCGTGAAAACCACGGGCTCCTCAGCACGCCGGGCCCTGCCCGCCCCACCGGCTGGAAGCGTCCCTCTGGGGAGGCACGGCAAACCCCCGCCACGGCCCGGCATCGCGGGGCGGCCTCCCAAATGCTGACTCACGGAAAGCCAGCAGCGCCGAAGGCACGGGGCTCCAACCCCACCGCCCCCCAGCTCCCC